AGGGGTGCAGTGAATTACATGGCAGCAAGAATAGTCAGCTGCATCCAGGAAATATGCATGTCCAATTCTCCAGAGAGTATAAAACATCTAAGGCTGTAAAAGAGGAGAAGTTCTTACTTTTCTGTAGCAGCCCCAGAACCCTGCAACATGATTGCACTAAATACACTCAAAGGCCTGCCAAGCATAACATAACTGATGTTAAAAGAAACATTATCTCAGTGCCTGTGTCCACTGAAGATCTTGGATCCATTGCAAATGTGCCAGGGTTGATAATATGCAAATGCTGACACTAAATAAAGATTTTTTTTTTCTTAGGGCAGGAATGAAAAAAAATATTAGATACAGAGGTGTTGGATAACTAGCCCTCAAGTCACAAGAAGAGCCCCCATTTTGGAATGTGTCAAGTAGTGCCATTCCCAGGAAGTTACAGCAAAGACGTGCCAGGCCCTTAAGTGTTTCTGACATAAATATTAATGAGTGTAATAACCCAAACATTGCTTATTATTTTACCTATTAGTTAATCTCTGGGAGAGAAAAGAAAAAAAAAAAAAAAAGAAAGAAAAAAAAAGAAAAGAAAAAGCTTTTAGTGAGTATTTTCCTGACTCTGCAGATGAATTAATGGAATGATACTGACATGGTTGGTTCAAAGTAATGGAATGACTTAGCCACAACTAATGAGGACTACAAATGCACAAAAGGGTATAGGAGATGTCTGGCTGTAAATCCCTGTGTATCAAATATTGCTCTATAATACATTAATACAAACTTGTCTGAGTCAGTGATGGTTATTAGAGGCAGTAACATGATTTAGTTGACTGGATAGATGACTAGTTGGAGACTGGAAACTACAGCTCGTTTCTGAGCTGTGCCAGTCTCTTGGTGTGTCATCTTGGAGAAATCTCTCAGTGCTGCTTTTTCTTTGCCCTTTCAGTTGTCTTTTTCACATGCAGTGAAAACTCCAGCTAATCCCCTGCCTGCAATCAGTGGAGAGCAAGGAAAGTCTCAAGTGTGATGTCAGTAAAGCACTGAGCAGAAAACTGCCTAGAAAGCAGCCAAGAGAAAACATTAGGCCCAAGGACTTAGGTGGAAAGTAGTCTTCCTGAATAGGACTCTGTGTATTTTCAGAGTGAACAGACAAGAGCTCGTGTTTTGATGAGACCTCTCAGCACTTTACTCTTATAAATAATAAACAGAATATATTTTCCTCTTGTGTAGGTTAGCAAATAGAAATGTGCCTCTGTTATCAGCCAGGAAGCAATAATTGAGATGCGGAGATTTGACGGAATACACATTCAAATGGGAATAAATAAAAGCATAAGTAGGATTTCAAAAGCTCTGCTTCTGTGCTGGGTTTAATCTGAATGTTTAGATATGGAATTTATTCAAGATATCTGTTTGCAGGCTTGGATTTCTGTTTTCAGACTTAAATCCCACCACAGACTCTAGCTTGTATCTGACTATGCAACAGAACTAACAGGGTAACTTGGAGTTATCTTTTGCATATCTCAGCATTTTGTAAAAGCCGCAGATTTTCAAACATTTACTTTCATGGCCTGGGTAGATTTGCAAATGCACATCTCAGCATGCTACTTTTTGAAAGGAAACCTGAAAGGATTAGTATCACAGTAATCCCTTCCATATTATTGTAGCCGAAACACACAATACAAACTATGCTTTGTGGAGGGAGAGGCCTTTTTAACATCCCCTTCTCCAGATTGACCCACCTTGCCCATGTTGGGGATTAAGCAATGTATTTTTACTGTCTCCATTTAAGGATATACATCTGTTTATTAATTTTTGTAGTATACCTGATGGTAAAGTAACTCATATAAAGAACCACCTACCACTTATGTGAAAGTCCTCTAGCGAAACTGTCTCATAGTTCTGTAACACTGCTGAGCAACCTGCTGACAGCCAAACTTCCACTAGTCCAGACATTTGGAACAAGCGGCTCTTTGAAGCACACAGTCCTTTTTCCTTCGGCTTCCTTTTCCTTTTCTCTCTTTCTTCCTTGTTGTCAGGTTTTTAAGTGAAAATCTTAGCCTTATGAGCAAAATGTTTTCTGTTTTCTTAAATTTCACATTTTAATCATTCAAAAATGATTTCCTTCCCCTACATTTATCTGATTTTATGCTATTCAGGGGCACAACTTAATGGTACCCTAAATCAGCTTTCAAAACTGGCTAAGACAGAGGCACTAAATCTCATCTCATGACTGTTGTACTACTTTAACTGAAAATTGTCTTTGAGAGGAAAATTTTCAAAGAAACATACGTGAGTGAAACTGATACTGGGAGCTTGATGTACAAGCCCTTCATGTATTTTTTAAAATCCAAGCATTATAGTTTGTGGTTGCATAAAATAGAAAATGGCTTCTTTTTTTCAAATTACTTTTCTGAAGTGGGAACTAGATGATCTTTAAGGTCACTTCCAAATCAAACCATTCTGTGATTCTATGATCTTAGTATTATAGTGATGCATTTGAACGGTCTCTTCTTTATTTCATTTATTCTCTTTTGTCTTACTTGAATAATAAAACTATGCTAATGACAATAAATTCACAATTCACAAAAACAGAAAAGTGTGATCAACTTTTCCCTGCAATGCCATACACTGTTGGCAAAAATTAGACATCTACATCATGAAAGGTAATCATCAGGAAATTAGAAAGGCAAAAACAGGTTGCTGTCAGCCCAAGGATGGGAATTAGCATTAATTTAAAGGAAATACATCATCTATGCAATCTATGCAAGAATCTGATTCTAAAGAGATTTAAAATAATGTTTATTAAATATAGTTTTATGCACATTTTTTTTTCATAATGTGATCAAGCTACAGGAAGTATTATTTTTTATGTTTATTTTTAATTTTATTTTTTGGCCATTTGGGACCATGGTAAGTAGTGGGAAGTGGTGGATGCCTTACCTAACCAAATGTTGAAGAATGCTGCAAAGTTGGTTGTGCCTTCTCTATATCCCATTTGTTTATGTACCCCAACCTGGAGAGACTGGCGTATAACACGGAGGCAGCTCCGTGTTATTGAGGCAGCTGGCTACTGCAGAAAGATTATAGTTGAACCAGTCTAAAAAAGCTGTGCTGTATACCGTGATGACTATTGTTCTCTGTGCTAAGGTTATTTATCTCTTTTTTATTATTATTATTCATTGCTTGAGTGAACCTAATACATTTGAAATCATGTTTCAGAAGAAGTAAGATACACGGCAACTAGTGGAATTTCACTGCAGAAAAACCCCAAAGGGATTTCTAATCCACTGCTACTAATGCCATCTAATAGTGAGACAAACTGTATAACACGCTCAGTGCTAGGAATGCTGCTTCATATCCAGACTCATTTGGGTTTAGTTAGTATTGCCTAGTAATTAATTTTTATTCAGTATTTATGCTATCAATGACATCCAGAGGCTGGCCTAAATAGTCTCGAGCCCCTGGCACCAGCAGCAGCATACATAAATGCAGATATTTTGTTCTCAATAAATGTGTGCTGTAGACTGTAAGTTAAAATACTTGCTAGCAAGTCTTCCCCATAGCTAAACACAAGGCTGAACATGCTGGACATCAGTCAAAGACACAGAGTGACATACAGATTACTAATTACTATTAATGTTTACAGGATTTAGAATGTCTTAATTGATTTTGGCACTGAAAGTACAGTCTGCTAAATTGCTTGTCACCTCTGTTTTATCCAAGGTCTCATTGAGAATCTCATATGCAATTAACTGTAATTGCTATAGTGTATTTATTCTAAAGTGTACAATACATTATTATTTTGTTATTTGGATCTCAAAAGCAGGGAGTTAATTGCTTAGAAAAACACAATTCAAAACAAGGCAATCTTTGTGGTGAGGTGTTTAGTGTTTTTTTTTTTCAGAGCAGAAAAATATGAAGACTTTAATGTAGTTCATGTTCCAAACTCATAGTCCTCCTGTATTGCAAATCTCACTAACTTCAGGGAGAATAACTTGTGTGTAGAGACGTTGCAGATAACTCAACATTATCAACTTGTGTGGCCCAAGCAAGGAGTCTGGTGCACTGCACACCACCATGGCTACAGGACCGAGTGTCCCCACTGTGCAGAGACATTTGGAGCAGTGGCCAGTCCCAGGCATGTGTCAGGTGAGCCTAGAGCTGGGGCTGTGGCAGGGCCGTGTGCTGGAGCCTAGCTGCACCCATGGTCCCAACAGAAGGAAAGCAACTGCAAACACACCCATCAATGGTGTGTCTCGCTTAATTGAGTACTGCTGGAGCCCAGGTAGAAACGTAAGGCAAATCTGCACCATAAAGAATATTTCTCCTTCCCTATCCCAATGCTAAATTGCTCATGGGGGCACCTCCTGTATAATGTAGGAAGACAAGGGCTATGGATGCTGAAACAAATTGTTCATGCTGTCTATAGGAAGGGGCAATTTTTTTCCTGCATATGGAACTGTACAGCAGCTCTTGAAAGGAATGTATTTTCTCTGCATACTCAATGTTAAAAGACGGAAGAAGCACTGAACCGCATACGTGAATTCATCTGCCAGTTTAGCCTGGCAATATCTTCTATTTAAACAGCCAAAGCTCCAAAATGAACACGGTCTGTCTAGAAACCTCAATAAAAGGAAAAGCTTTGCCAAGAAGCACTCTAGGACAGCAAAACAGTGAAGCCCTTCCTACAGAAAGGAAAGGAATGTGCAAGAATCTCCTTCCCAGGAATGGGGAGCTACATTGTCTCCTGGTACTGCCAAGGATTTGTACCTTGGAGCACAGGTCTGATTTGAGAGTTCAGACTGACAGTACCTGCTCCTTTCACTTCCTAGTGGGGTTGTTCAAGGAACAGCTAATCATAAACATTGGCTTGCCGTCTTTGGTAAAGCAGAAGATACTCTAGTTCCTTGTATTAAGAAACTAGCTGTCCTAATTTTATGGAGAAAATTATTCCAGGAGATAAGACACAGATCTAGCCAAACTCACTTAATTAAAGAAAATGCAAATCCAGTACAGCCAGTCTAGATTCTCTTTACTGCAAGCACCAGTCACAAAATCTCTCCAAGGGTCTGAGTATGACAAATAATGACAATAATGGTACGTATAAAATATTAGAAATATCTTCTATCAAAATGCAGGATGGAAACAGTGATTATTTGCTTCATATTACTTTCACCTATTGCAAGTGGAAAAACAAACCTAAATATCACGGGTAGATTTTTAGCACATTCAAACATCTTGGAGCTTGCTTTTATTTTAGTTAATTATTTTGATATTTTCCATTCAATTAATTATCAGATTAATGTTCTTACATAAATGTGTAAAATAGCATGTTGATAATAAAAGATTACTGCAGAGCTTGCTTTAGAAGCAAACACAGCAAGATTGAAAGACGCAAAATCCTAAAGTAGAAGAGGCTGCTAACGTCGCTGCAGTTCCATGTACCTGAACGTGCCCTGGGAAGATGGGCTGTACTGCATGGAATATGGCAGACTCCAATCTTTACTGTAGGAATAATATAGGATTGCTGATGAATACCATTGCTTAGATTTTCTGTTTCAATCTTCTAACATGTATTTTATTTTATTTTATTTTATTTTATTTTATTTTATTTTATTTTATTTTATTTTATTTTATTTTTTAATTACAGATGTTGATCATAAACACTTTTTGTGGTATTTCAGGCTTCTTGGAATCTATCAAGTATCTTTTATTTTCAGCTTAAGAATTTAGACTAAGCAATCGCTTTATGCTGCAGAATTCCTGACACAGCTTCCCAGTAACCTGTACCACTTTTTTTCTTCGAAATGTGTTCATTTTGTGAGTCGTACGCTACATGTGGTGCCAATATGGGTACTGTCTAACAGAAGGCAGGTGCATTTGCAGAGATGACAGCTTTCTCAGAACTCAATTATTTAACTCATTTATAATAAGATTATTTGGAGAAGACATACCATCTGTTTACTGGTCATAATCCCCCTTGTGTGCTAAGCAATGTTTATTAAACTTTGTGCATCCCTTTCTATTTAGTTTCACACTGTTTTACTAGAAGCAACTGGATAATTGCTAGATTCAAAATCAGAAGTGAGAAGATCCTGGTCCCACTTGTCAATTTTTTGACTGATTCACCTAATTTACCTTGGACAACTGTGCTGCTTCTTGGTTTCTATTGCTCATTTGTAAAAAGACATTTTGGTAACTTTGACATTTACAGAATGAGGGGGAAAAGCTATTTAGTGATAAACAGCTTAATCATTGTAATAACTTAACAGCTTTGTTCTACCAGCTACATGGTAATGTGGGTAGAAAAACACTAAAAACAATTCTTCAAATAACCATTAGGGTTTCTAGACAATTTTGTTGCTCTGTTTACATTCCATTAACATGTGTCAGGTCCAGATTTACTCCCAATGGCTTTAACTATGTATGTTCAGAAGCTTAGAGAAAACACATGCAAAATTCTGATGCTTTCTAGCAAATGTCAAGAACTTGATTAAAAAAAAAAATCTTATCCAACAGCAATGACAAAACTAATACTTAGTTAAAGACAGAAAGCTGTCATTTGATATTTTACCTAAGGTTATTTACAGAGTAAGGAAATTTTCCATAAAAACTGAGAAATTAGTAATTTTAATTCACAAAGACATATAATACGACTGCATGCATTCTATAAGCTGAAAGAAATTCAATTACCTATTTCCACTAATTCTGTCTTTTCTAATAAGGACATGTTAAAAACTGTACACATATGACTTCAGTGCAGCATTCAGATTACATTCTTAGGACAGTCAAGAGATTAATAAACTACAAACTTCTTTCAGTTTTTAGTCTAATTTATTTCCCACTTTTTTTTTTTTTTTTTTTTGTGTGTGTAACAGTCAGAATATAGCAGTTGATTCATGAGTCAATGACATCAGTGATTCCCCTTGCTCTAGTTAATGTCAAAATCTCATTTTCATCTATTTTTGTACCAACAAGGATTAAAGATTTCTTTTGGGGGAAGAAATGTATGATGTTTAGTGTGCAGTTCCTCTTTGACTAGGATGAGTGTCAAATTCATTTTATGTTTTCCTGATATTTGCATCTATTGAGCTCTTATTATTGATTCATAAAGAAGTTTAAGAATATTGTATAGTTGTAGACTTTTGTTAAGTGCTTAAGATTGTAATTCCATTACAAAACAAAGAAGAATTAAGTTGAAAAACTGGGGAAAAAAAAAGTCAACTATTTGCCTCAATAAAATGATACAGGAGAGCACCTAAATAACGTATTTTGGTATTATATGAAAGAACAATCATAAGAGAAGATCCTCCAAAAGTAACACAGTAAAATATCACTTCAGCATTTAATGAACAAACGGTTTTCTTTCTTATGTTAAGAATCCATTGTCAATAACAAAAACTACCTTTAAAATACAAATTTAAAATGGGGTTGTTTATATTAGAGAAGAATTGGATCAGCCCGATGTCTAATTAACTTCTTCCCTGAAAAAATACCTGAGCCAACAGCTCTAGCACTAGCCTTAGGTTGAGAAGCAGTACACCCACAGCATAACTCTGAACTGCTTTGAATAAGCTCTGTATCTGTACTGATTCCAGAAACACAAAAAAGTTATTTAGCAATACTGCCTTTTTCTACATTGTATGGCTTTGCATGGTTCTTAAAAACCAAAGAACTCTTTTCCTGATAGTCTGGTTACTGGAGTTTATATCCAGTATATTTGGTGCAGAGTGCCAAAATAAAGGTAGTTATAACTGTCCTCCAGAAAGCTTACTATTGCAAAGCTCTAAAGTCTTTGGAAATTCAGGACAAAGATCTGGAGCAGGGGCATTTTAGTGAGACAGTTCTTGCTCTCTGAAAACACTGCTTCAAACAGAAGTATGTACTAATCTTCCAGAGTTTAATCAAGCTTCAGAAAGATAAGATAAATGAATGGTACTGCTAAACGTCAGCAACTCACAATTGGTAAGTGTTTAAAAAACAGTTCCTTACTGTATCTCAGCAGGTGGTACACATCTTGCAGCTAAGGCATGTCCAGGTTAGTCTGCATGGGACATAGCAGTAGTAGTTCAGGAGTTTCAAGTTTCCTTGAGCTGAGACCTGGGGCAAATACAGAAGAATACAGGTATAATTACAGTCTGCACCTTTTTCCTTTTTTTTGCACAGGAGATTTTTTGTATTTCTGAGGTCACTGTGATGTGTCATCAGCGATGACCTTTTCCTACCTGAATGACCACTGAGAACAGCTTGTATTTAGTAGTGTTTTCTCACACAACTTATCACAACTCAGTCAAAAAGGATCAAGGCCACAGAAGAAAACTGTGGTTCTAGTTTTACAGATCTGAGAGTTGTTGTTGCCATATCTATTTTACTCATCAGAATTTAGTAACTCTTCTTAAACACCAAAGCCCTAAAAGCAACATCATTTATTAACCTTCTGTCAGTGGCCACTTTCTATGAATTTAATATACACTTAACTCAGAACCTTAGTTTTCCACTCATGCTGATATATCTCATGTGTAGGATGTACACTTGAGTGTCAGGGGAGAGGGATGGAGTGAGGGAGAAGAGAAAGCAAAGGAGAAGCCTTTGAACATGTGAAACAACATAAACTGGTGTGGTTGCCAGCTGCCCAAGGCTGCAGTGTTTGAAAGAGTATGAAAAAGTATGAACTGCTCCCACTCACTACCATTGAGGGAACAAGATCAAAACTTTTGGAATGCTTTTAAAACATTAAGTGCTAATTTTTTAATTGCTGAACATTTTTTAGGTGCATTGAAGTAACATGCTTGTTCACGGTGGTTGATAGTGGTAAATAGGGTTGAACATGCAGTCATGGCTATAAATGACTTTTTGTATAAAACATAAAAGCTTTTGATTCTTCCAGTAACCTTAGAGTCTTGGGTGCTCAAAAGTGGATGTTTCCTTCTTTGTGCGAAAAGACTTACAGTGTTTCTTAAATATCTAAAATAAAATCACTTTTTGCTTTTCTTAGCTTTTCTTAGTTAAATGCACTGTGAGGTCCCTTGCAGCTTTTGAAACCTCATGCAAAATTAATGTATTCTGTTAAGTTACAATCAGCATTAATACCCTGAAATCCTGAAGCGTTAGTATCTTGACCTTTATGTCAAGATGAATGAAAATCAAATTAACTTCTGACTGATCAGTCCTTTCTGAAGGATTGTGTTTGTTACACAATGTGCTCCTTTTTCCATGCAGGTGTGAGGGCAAAAACAAGCTGTTTATCCATGAAAGCCAAAGCATCTTAATCTTGACAGCTGCCAGAATGTCTAGCCTTAACGAGCTAGTTATTGATACTGTTCTTGGGCATTTATATATTATCCTAATCTGTTTTTTTGTTTTGTTTTGTTTTGTTTTTTTCTAGAGAAACAGCAATGGGTATTTTTGGCAGGAAGGCACAAGGGATGGACAGGGTTAACAATATGTAAGATTATATCTAGCTGCTATCTTTGTCCTTTGTCCCCCATCTGTCCCCCTCAAAAGATTTGTTTTCCCCCTGAATGAGTTCTCAGTAACACCTGACCTGTCAGAGTAACTGATTCATTTACTGGGCCCCTTTGGTTCTGTGGTATGGCCATATTTCTCCAGGTATAACTCTGCCTAGTTTTAGTCAAGGATCTTAGGGGCATGTGAATATAGTCATCTTCAACAGTCACTGGCAACAGTTCACATCACCTCTGTGAGCTCACACTGATGTCTAGAATTCAGAGAGCAGCAATCCTGTGGTTACCTCACTGGTTGGACAGTAGATGAATGCTGAAATGCACTGTTCTGAGTTTTTATTTTCCCAATTTTATTTTTGTTTTTAGCTATTGCAACTTTTAAAAATATTTAGATCAGCAACAGTACAGAGAGTAAAGCCCGAGTTTATCCATACAGCCAGCTATAGTACAGCACAAGCTGCCTGCCAGCTTACTGATCAGCAACAAAGCCTCATGTTTGGGCACCTCCTGCATGATCGGAGTAAGAATACCGACAATCCTCTGAGAATAACTGTGGGGCAGAAAGATCACCACCTTCCCTTACCGATATCAAAACTTCAATGAGTTCATTTCTATAACCCAGTTTGGGTATGCTCGCTGGGACAGCAGGGTAATACTCCAGTGCTTTACTATCTGTAACAAATAGTGATCAGCGTGGGCCAATAATCCAGGACGGGAGGGTATCTCTCACTACTGCACTGTATGATATTTGCTTTGTTAATCACAATTACAGTATATCAGATTTCCTCACCATAAAACTAGTTAAAGGCAAGAAGACAAAACCCTTAAGTTGTCCAGTTTCAATTTTACATTCACAACTGAGTAACTACAACATGAAATTGTCTACTTCATAAGAAAGCTTCAAAGAGTTGTTTCTAGTAATTCCTTTTCACAGATTTCTTTTAATATAAGGAATGTCTTGCATGAATGTACAATTACACTCAGTGAAGCAGAGATACAGATATGTTCAGTTCTTACTCAAAGCATGCATTCTTAACTATGTGCTTTGGAGAAAAGAAAAAGAAAAAGATATATATATTGATATTTTCCTTTGGATTTATGAAAATTAGGAAAGCTTCCAAGAGCATCTCAACATTAAAGTGATCACTTCCTAGGAATGAAGAAACAGAAGAGCAGCCTGAATACTAAGTGTTGTTCAAATCTGCTTCTTAATTCTATTCTCTTTGGTCATTACAATTTACAAGCTGTTTCACTTTAGATTTTTCTTGTTTTTCTCCAGTTGCTGCTCTTAATTTCTCTGTTTTCACATCTGTTCTACAGTTTTCTCTTAGAAAATTTGCTGTTTGGAAAGACAGGATTCCAGACAGACTGGATTTCCAGAATTATCCACTAGTAGCAGTCTGTAGACGCCCTAAATTTGTTTCTTTTGTTCTCTGGAGATGAAGATGAGTAAGGATTGAAAATTAATATATTCAGTATATTCCTAATAATAAATTGATAGGAAACTTGATCTAATATTAAATTACTGATTTGTCATTTTTCCAAGTAGTAAATATCCCAGTTGATAAAGTTATCATCATATCCTAATATGTATGGATCAGGCCCAAAAGCTTCACTGTATAAAATGGGTATCCTAAGTTTACAAGGAACAACAGATACAATACATTCACCATGATACTCTGAAATGCCTTTTAAAAAGCCAGTGTGAGCATTTCAGTGCATCTGGCTCTTCATCTGAGAGGGATAAATGCTCTCAAAACTGTATTTATTTCCCTTTATGCCAAGAACTTCCTGCTAAGAGACAAATCAGGCTAAATAATCAGCTAAAGATGCTAGTGGTTTGTGATATTTTACTTTTCAGGGAGAATAGTGTGTAACAAGTCCAGGACAGTCACTTGACACAAAGTCCTGGCCAGAGCAGCTTGGAGTATTTTGAACTATCTTTCCATTCTACATACTATGTAAAGATGAGAGTGCAGTAATTCAGGAAAAAAATAAGGACCATCCAAACTTAAAACCAGCTATAAACATCTCATTAAGTTCATGAAGGTCAAGATTAGTAATGTTTCCTCTTTACCCATATCAACCTATGCAGACGGCTTTCCTGAAATCCATTGTGATGTGTCAACACTTCTGGCAAGCATTTTATGATCTGCCAGTGTACAGAAATGATGTGAATTTTGGCACTTCCTTAAATACAAAGTGAGGGTTGTAAATATTGAACAACTGTGATGTGCCAAACTCCCATAATATAAGCTTAGAGTAGTTGATTCTGGACAGGAGAGTTAACAGAATAGTTGACTTTATTTTCATTGAGTAATCTGATTTTAAAGAAAAGTGTGCACTTTTATTTTACATAAATTACACAGAAGAGTAATATTTTCCTCTTATTCTTTATATATTTATTTCCTACCACCTCCACCCCCCCCCCCCCAAAAAAAAAATAAATTAATTAAGGTTGAAAAATAGACAGACTTTTTTTTTTTAACTTATTCCAAATTAGAGAGGCTAATGGTTTCCAGTGTGTGTGGATGAGAAAATGCAAGGGGCAAGTAGCCAAAGATGAAATGGTATATGAAATTCAGAGTTTCCTATAGAAAAGAAAAGTGATGCTAGGAAAAAAAAAAAGTACATATCTTGTTCTACAACTACCTAAGCCACTCAAACTCCTATTCATCATTATGGCTAGTTCTGTGAAAATACAATCATATTATTTAATTCCACAAATTTTTCCAGGGGAATAAAGAAAAAGTAATTTAATGAGGCATTTGGTAAGTACTTTTTTTTCCCCCTGGAAAGATTGTGACATAAGGGCAATCAGAGTTCAAAGGAATTTGTTAAAAAATTGCAGAAACTGTTGCTACTTGTTTTTGCGTTTGTATTGTTAACACATCTCCATAACCTTTTTTTTTTTTTTTTTTGAGCACTTCACACAATATTACTGTACAGTTTTATACAAGTGGGAAATGAAATGCTTGTGTGTCATTTCTTTTAACGCTCTCAAATGGTTCTTGAGTATTTATTGCAACTTGTTGGTCTTTCAAGGACTATAATGGAATTGTAAGCTTATTGATATGGTTCAAATAAGCTGTTTGCTCTTCTTATGTAACCTGGGTACTTCCTGCTTCTGGCTATCTAAGACAGAAATAAATGGCAATTTCACTTTATTATTATTCATAGGGGCGTAACAGTCAAGATTAATGTGTGCTCTAATGATTTATTCATGACAATTTTCTGCAAATCCTGACATTTTCATAATTTTTAACACATACAATTTGTCCAAAAATTCCTACTAGAAAACAGGGTTGTTCTTTATTCATTCTTCATCATTCATTTCTCTATTAAAAACTTTCATTCTGCCAGTAAGCGAACACATACGGTACTTTCCAAAAGTGACCAATCACTTTCTATGACTAGACAAGAAGTTAAATTCTTGCATAACCCCAGGCACTAATATTTTCTAATATGATAATATGTTCTAACATGTAACTAATATGTTCTGTGGGTGTGTAGAAATGTGCATTACAGTTATTTTGACTGGAGTCATGGGAACTGGTACTGTCACAAAGTAAAACTACTCAGTTATCACAATAGGAAGGACTTAACAGGCCTGATAGTCATATGAATTTAGAGTATAAACACATATACCTCAGATATTTCTTTCCCACCCAGCAAATCACCAGCTTCCCCTTATAGCTAACAAGTTACAAGCATGTCTCAAATTTCAAATGGCTTTTAGAAAATCTTATATTCTTTCTCTCCAGCTACATTTTCTGTCCTGCAAATGTAGCACACAAGTTGATTCTGTACAATAAATGAAATAGAGCCATTTAAGCCAACTCCATGCCACATTCCACACAGAGTACTTAACAGTCCAGCTTGGCATCTTTAAAACTGGTGTCATCTCTTTTGCTACTTTCTTTCTTTCTTTTTTTTTTTTTTTTCTCCCAGATTATTCTAATTACTTTTTGCTGGCTATTACATGACCACATGTATATAGTAATTTTACATATCAACAGTGCAAAGTATGTATTCAGAGAGAATAAGAAAATAACCAAAAGCAGCAAGTTGGAGGTATGGGAACATGGACAGAACTTAATGTAGTTGTGTATACACAGGCATGGCAAATTTTCTTTTTATTATGCCTTGTTTGTATTTTTGTTTCTTATAAAACAGAAGCTTTAGTTTTTACAGGAGGAACAGCATAATATAATTCCTTTTTGGTAGATACTAGAATCAGAACCACTAGAATCAGAAAGAAAAATACAAGATACAACTCCTTTGAACTCTGGCTTTAAGAATCACTGGAATGCTAACACCTGCAGCTCACTCAGCCAGCTATTAGATCAGTAACGACATTTTTTGTCACTTACAAACTCCAGGAGATGATTATTATATGCCAGCTAAGTTGCCAAGGAGATTTGCATTAACACAGACCAAATATTTTAAGTGGAAAAGCTGTTGAAATGTGCCAGCCAGGTGGGCAACATCTGAAAATTACTGGCCAGAGAAAGGTTACAGCTTAGAGAACTGCCCTTTAGCTCCATGGTCTTTCACAGAAGGAAGACAGGTATGTGATTGTCCCTGTTCCACACACAGAAATAAAAAATGAACACAAGAAATGGTTCCTAAGGATTCAGAAAGAAATAAAATCAAGATGGTGAAGAATTGTGGCTTCTTATTCAATAGCTTGGCAAGTTACCTAAACTGTTTATTGCCCAGCTTCTCTGAAAGTCATGAGATGAGGGTTCTTGGAGTTACATTATTAAATGCAGGTGTATATTACTAAAGTTTTTCAAACTCTACAAATTAAATATAGTTAATATTGCTATTATGTATTTTTTCCTCTTGAAACCAGTTCTTTAGATGACTGTGTCCTCTGCTAAAGTCATCCTCAAGGTAGGGAACTGGTAGTCTGCCTTTCACATTCTTCCTCACCTTCACACATCCTTGGCACTGAGAAGGTTATAGAGTTCAGTTCTCACCTTGTAATCTTCTGGCTGGTTCTGGCAGCTACCAGTTTCTCATTTCCTTCAACGCTGGATCATTTACACAAATCAGTTCTTTGAAAAAGTGACCTTTTTGCAGACCTCTGATGTATTTCTTCCTTCTCCTCCAGAGAATCCAAGACAAATTGCTTTATTCTGAAGGTCCTCCATCACTACATCTCTGCATCCCAGTTCATTGGCTTTGTAATTATATGGAAAGGTTGTTTGCCTTCACTGCCAGATGTGTTTACCAGTAAATATTCCAAAAATATCACAAACCACCATTCTTTCTTCCACATTGCCATTTATGCATGGGAGGAACTTCTTTAATTAATTTCAGCTCTGAAACTCTTTGCTATAATTCCAGGCAGGTGCTGTACTGTTCCTACCGTTAATGAGTTTTGCCTTCATATAACTGTGAGAAGGACAGAAAGAGCCGTGCTGGCTAAATTTGTCTAAAATTGGTTTTCAGCATGCAAAATAAACTGGACAGCTCCTGTGTGAAACTGATTGTAGTGTCACTCCCTGCTCTGTGGAAATTTAATCTGTCTGGCGAGTCAGAATGAAACTCGCAGCAGGGGCTGAAGCTATTGACTTTTCCACTTTTTTTTTTTTTTTAAATATTCTTTGTTCAGATTGACTGAGGCTGTTTCACCTGAATTATCATTCTTAAATAACTGTCCTGGTAGGAGCAACCATTCAACCTCATGCCACCCTTTTAAAATCTAGGCTAGCTCTTGACATCCTCAACCTACAAGCACTGTGAAAAATTGCTTTGATAAGGTTGTTTATAATTTGATGCTGTAAAACAGAATTCTTACTAATTGTGTTTCAGGCATGATCGATTATGTAATCCACAGAGAAACTAATTTCAAAAACACTGTAACCATAAAAACAGCTGTTCCACTGAGTCATTTTCCCAATGTGCAACTTAAAACAAAGCAAAACAGAGAAAGGCCTCTCCTAGCTGCAACTTATTTGTGTCGATATGATTATGGTATAGGATAATGCTAAGAAAGGGGGAGGAAGAGGGGAGTGGATGGGAGGGGGAAGGAAGAAAGTCACCTCTACTCTCCTTTTATATCAGAAGTTCAGCAACAGAACAAAGAGCCTTTGGAGTTAAAATAAAATAAAAATCTCAGTTTTGAAAAGAGATTAGTACCCTAAACTTAATGATGAACAGCAGGACATGTACTGATAACCAAAAGTCATCTGTGAAGATAAGAATGAGTCTAATATTAGAAAGAAATGAATTAAACTAATAAAACAAGATACTTCAGTTAAAGACCTAAAAAAAATTCATATCACATATGTACATGCATATACACAAATGTTTATGGTTATGTAAGTATAATACAGCCTCTAAAAGAGATGGTAGTAAGATCTCCTAAAGAAGATAAAGGGAATTTCACTATTTAAAAGGAAAATAAAGAGAAAAAAAAAAAGTACTGTAGGCACTGCTCTTTGACCAGTAGAAAGTAAAGTGACAAAGCAGGCAGCCCTTTTCATATTTAGAAAGACTCTTCATTTCACCTGGCTTTTGGAGGGAAAATATAAACTAAGCTCTATCAAAATGAACCTTACACTGAAGTCCAAACAAGTTGGTTAGTTTTTTGTTTGTTTGTTTTCCCTTTGGGGGAAAAGATTTTAAAAAGAATAGAATATTTAATGAGCTCCTATTATATGACCATTGCAGGGACCAGAATTTAATTTCTGTAGATCTGCTATCTAGAGATGTTTACTTCCCATTTTGTATGCCTTGGAGATGCAGAGTTGCGAACAGAAAATACTACAGATCTGACATGCATGTGTTTTTCTTGTTTGCAGATATCTCAGTAAGCTTGCTCTCCTTAGTTGTCACAGCCTGTGGTCTTGCTCTCTTTGGTGTGTCCCTGTTCGTGTCCTGGAAGCTTTGTTGGATCCCTTGGCGAGAACGTGGCCTGCCATTTGGGAACAAAGACAACAAACAGGAATCCCTGAACTACACAGATACAGAGACCAATGACCATGAATACAGTGACGATTTTCTGGGTCAGCCGACAACCTATCCAGAGTCCTCCATGAAGATCAGCCACACCTCCCCTGATATTCCGTTAGATGCTCAAACTGGAACGAAGGAGAACTGCGTACACAATGCGCGAATGCATCGTCAGACCACTGAACCCACCTCTTCTGCTCGGTCAGTAACTCCAATTTATCTCTGGTGTCAATCAGTAAGATACATCACAAATAGTACAGCTTGATTATCTACTACACCACTCTATTACAAATGCATAATTTACTTGACACGTTTTTTTAAAGAATTACATTAAAGTTATTCAGGCACACAAACCTCTTAGATTAAAAAGACGAGATAACAATGGTATTCCAGCTTTCTATCAACTACTAACTCATTTGTGCCTTTCCCCTCAGAAGCTGAACACGCATGAACACCCTAGATCTAGCTTGTAAAGAATATCCATTTGTACTTAGCAGCGATACTGAGCACTCAGTAGTATCTCCTCAAAGACTTTTAAAATAGCCAAAGAAGAAAAGTAGGGCAAGCTAATGAAACACTTTCAGGAGTTAGAAATAGAATTAATAATCATAGGTTTTAGCCACAGTCATGACTGTGGGGGGAAAAGTGACTGAACAAGAGTCAATGAAGGCTCCAGAGGAACTGGAGAAACAGCACAAGAAGGAACAGGAAAAAGGGAGTGTGAGGGTGTGTTATGCTTCACACAGTAAGAAAAAGTATTTGCGCATGAAGAGCCAGTGAGTAAATTCTTGAGTCAAAGCAGATACACTTTAGCTAGAAAATGTATGGTCCTAGCCCAACTGCTACTTACTAAGCCTCTTTTCTTGTCATCTCAGAGGGCAAATTTAGTCAAGACTCTTTCCTGCAGGCACACCTGAACATGGGTAACACAAAAGCAGCTAGCAGCCAGTTCAGGAATTGACAGAAGTCCAAAACATGTCTCAGAATTTGAGAAGCCTTCAAAACAGCATGAATGTTATGCAGCAAAAGCTCCAGGTGCCCCTTCTCTTTAGATTAGTGCAAGAATGGCCTGGGCTCATTTTGCTGTAGAAATCCAAGGGGAGCTCAAAGCCACAGTTATGAATACTCAAGCTCGACTCCTGCCACATACAAGTTTGAATTCCAGCTCAAGACTTATATCCCAGAAGTACAGTAGTACAAGCTGGTGCTGCTCAGCTTTCAAAGCGCTAGCAAATAATCCTGTTGGGAGATTCATTAAAAACAGAAAATTCATATCCGACATCTAACGCCAAGAGCTCTTGTGTGTCTTTAGTATTATGAAATCACTGAGTCTGATGCAGGCTCTGTCTTCTACAACAGGGCAGCAGTTCTCATACACAATCAAATGACAAATGCACAGTCATCTCACAAGAAACAGTGGAAATCCCAATTTGTAAAAGAACATGCCTCAGCATTGTCAGTGCATGGACCATGTCTTCACTCCTGTGACTCTCTGCAGTTCACTTTTCTTCCAGCTGTTCCCAGCCTAGCCCGCTCCAGCAGTAGTTATGCTGGCTCCCTGCCCACACAAGCAGGACCTGCCCGCGTCCCACCCCAACTGGTGATGAGCTTTGCTCATTACCCCACTCATTCATTACCCCATACTGTTGCCCAGATCTTCCCCAAAAGACTCTTCCACTGAGCAGGAGGGGCCCATCTTCCTTGTACCGCACCCTTGGTTTGTTCACCTTCACCTCTGTGCCTGCTCCTTTCCTGTGTAACTGGGTGGCCACAGAGAGCAGTCACCTGCCCCTGCTCCAAGTCCTCGTTGACTTCAGCAAGGCAGAGCTGCCTCCTGTGTTCTTTTTCATTCTTCCCCTGGATAAACTGCACCTCCCACTGCTACAAGGAGCTTAAGGGTTGAGCAATATAGATCTTTTTTTCCTGTGACATGGTAACATTTTGTCATGGAAATGACTAACAGAGCTATAAAATTATGTATTTGCTATACAACAAGAACGAAAATAGGAGGGTAGTTTATGAGAGGCTGTTCCTTTTTAAAGCATGCATAAACACACATTTAAAAGGGAGGAATGAGCAATGGTACCAGAGTAACTACTGCTGATTACATTCAACATAAATAGCTTTGGACTAATCCTGTGCTAGCATTTTCCATGTGCTCTTTTCATGTTCAGCCACCTCTCATGATACTCCAATACACTGAATGATTGCTGAATTTGAAAAGGACCAAAAAAAAAAAAAAAAAAAGTAGAATCCAGCTCATAAGATTAGGATTTTACCTAATCCAACTTTCACATCCCACTACCCCTTACAGAGATTGCAATTTGATTTCTGTTATCTCATGAAGTGGAAATTTCAATCACAATAACCAAGTGACTCCAGGTAATAAATCTCACTGGACCGAAGCTAAAAACAACTTTCTGTCCTTAGAGTAATGAAACTAAAGGAGCTTTTCAACCTAAGTACTGTGGAGCTCATTACATCAGTTATGAATGGGGAAAAAAAAAAAAAAAAGAAGAAAATAAAAACAAAACAGAATAAAACAAAACAATTGATGGTGTGGTCAACCAACCATCTCAGATGAGAACAGTTCACTTAAAAATGAGGTAGTAGCACAGATCAATGAGTAACTGAAATGGAGAGATGTCAAAAAGTGTCCTCTGTGTCCATCCTCATCTTAACACCAGAAATCAACAAGCTCAACAGGTATAATAGGCCAGATCTTGTTGCCATTTACATAATGTAACTCATTTCATAAGTATTATGAACATAAAGGATTCAGCTGAAAATAGTAACTGATAAGAACTGCTATAGTTCTTATCATATTACATTATACAATGTAATATAGCAGATTCTTTGGATTTGCAATGTCCATGAATTGAAATTTGTTACTTTCTTCAGCCAGGTTTGGAGAGTGCATACCACTAGCTTGAGACAATTATTAGTTATCATACTTTATAACACTAGGAAGTACAAATCTGACCCTGTTGTACCTTACAAAAACACATCAAATGAAAACAAGATATTTGGTGTGTATGTACAGATTCTTATGGTCATCAACACAACCTATTTCAATTCTTTTATTTTCACTTAAGGCATAATTCAATCCGGAGACAGCTCAACCTCTCCAACCCTGACTTCAACATCCAGCAGGTTCAGAAACAGGAGCAACTGACAGGAATTGGCCGCATTAAGCCAGAGCTATATAAACAAAGATCAGTGGACACAGATGATGGCCGGAGGAGTAATAGCAAGGCATGTGGAAAACTGAACTTTATTCTGAAATATGACTGTGATTTAGAGCAGCTGATTGTGAAGATACACAAGGCCATCAACCTGCCAGCAAAGGACTTCTCTGGAACTTCGGATCCATATGTGAAGATTTATCTGCTTCCTGACAGGAAAACAAAACACCAGACTAAAGTGCATAGAAAAACCCTAAATCCAGTATTTGATGAAGTTTTTTTATTTACTGTCCCATACAATGATCTGAATGCACGGAAACTCCATTTCTCAGTGTATGACTTTGACAGATTCTCCAGGCATGACTTGATTGGCCAAGTGATAGTGGATAATTTTTTAGATTTGGCAGATTTTCCCAGGGAATGTAATATTTGGAAGGATATTGAATATGTCACCAATGTAAGTACTATTATTTTTCTTTTTGAAATGTTTTGTTTCGAATTTTATTTCTTTAATTATAACTATAATTCTCTCATACATTTATGAAGGAAAATACTCTATTTTCTCTCTTTCTCAAAATTAGATCTTAATCCAAGGAAACTGACAGTACATCTCAGTCTTCATTTCTTGTCCTTTGTATATATTAAAAAACATCTTATGTAAGAAGTACCGGGTATAATAATTGCCCCAGTGATAGAAAAGCTACAGAACACCCTCCTCTAAATCTCAATCTAAAAATTACTTAAGGAAATACTAATACTCTTACTTTGCCTGTCTTTCTATGTTTTCCATTATTTGCCACAAATTACATCATAATAGTGAGCCAGAACCACAGATTCAAGGTTTCTTGTGTAATGTTCTTCAATCTTTTAAAAGATTACATTTTCCTAAAGTGAGATGATGTCACATTTATAATCCAGGCAAGCAGAGTTCAGAAAACACTTTCCAAGCCAAAAATATTATTGGTCAGCCTAGAAAAACTAAAAATTGGAACCACCACCTCAGCACATGTTCCATGAAAGAAACAAAACATACTGAATTGGTTTAAGACTGATTGGCACAGATTTGTTACATAGGGAAGCAGGCAATTTATAAAATATTTCTATATTCTGTTCCAAAGTCTCTGGTATCAAGTTCAATGCAGGAATCCCATTAGGAACTATGCAGAAAACCACAAAAATTTCTATTGGAAAAGAAAGGCCTTTATTCTTTTCCCAAAGCATGAGCCTACCTATTTGTATCACTATTAGAAATTAATCATGCACACCCTACGGACAACAGATGTTCAGTGAGAAAGATACACTACAGAAATCCACAACGATGAAGCTCCAAGTGCCAACAGTCACTAAATATTTCATTTAGTGTATCAAACCATACTCAAATGGAACATGCAATTTAGAGTCAAATAAACCCAACATAATTAACAATATGACAGAAGTGTAAATTTGTTAGACCTCAATTCAGGAAAGCATTTAAGTATATGCTTGGTTGAATGTAAGAAACTGTAAAAAAGTTAAGAATGTCCTGACACAATTAATTTCCTGAAATGAGATCCTCACCTTATAATTTTTCTATTCTTGCTGTCATCCTTACTTGTGATGAGCTTATTCTTATCTCAGCTGCAAATTTTGCCCATTCAGGGCAGGCGGTACACTTGAGAACACCAGTGTGTGCTGCTCTAATGAACTGTGGTCCTAGAAGGGCATTGCGTGATGCAGTGGGACACTCCTGTTAACCTGAGGTTGAAAGTTACAGCTTGTACTGACCATAGGTGTATATATTTGTTCTGTTTAGTGCAGAGCTGCCAACACACAGCGCAGTGTACTCAGAAGTTAGAAAAAAATCCCCAAGCCCACTAGACATGGAATCAAAGGAAGTTTAACGCTTTGACCTACAACAATTCTGCCACTCTCAGTTGACACATTCTTCTTTCTTACCTTGGAATAAATTTTTTCCCCAGTGCTCTAGCATAAACACAAGGGTTGCCTGGCAATGAAATCATCTTTGAAGCACAGGTGTTCATGAAACAAATGCCTTTCTGGAAGAAAGTAGGCAACTTGCATCAGAATTTTTATTATGCCTATGCTGTAAGCAGAACTCATCAAGTGTTTGGCCAAGTTTTATACCTTTCTGGTCTGGTAGCATGCCGAATTACAGACCAAATGGATTCAATCTGGCTTTTGTTGTTGTTTGGAATTCCTTTTCTGCAATTTGATACTGTCCTTGTTTTAAGGGGATTTATAGACTTCGTCCTCAGCATCACACATCTTTGGGTGGAATTTGCTGTGCACCCACCACACAAACCCTTTTTTACTTTAGGAGGGAACTTCAGCAGTAGCTTTAGCAGCTCCCTTGCTTGAGGGTAACAGGTGGGGGCATGGGCAGTGTCAGGGAAGGAGGAGTCTGACTCTTCTTTGAAGAGTTACTTCTCTTCAATCACAAGTGGAAAGAAAGAATCTGTTAGAGCAAAAGCACAGTCATTCCAAGTGAAGCCTGGCTTTGTTCAGCGTTAAGTGTTCCAAGCTCAACATTTCCATTTTACAGTCACCTGGAAGGTGAAGGCACCAGTGGAGTGACTTTGTTTCGTACTGTTCCTTTTTCTGTGCTTTGAATCTCTGTTCAAAAGGTTAGCTCTGGAATTTTTTATATCACTTCTCCCTCCAAATTTCCAAAGAAATTAGTTTCTCTTCAGATTTTCTATAATTTCTGAAATTAAAGACTTCAGGACTGACATGTGAGGCATTTATTAATTCCTACTACTACCGATTCCTGTGGGAAGCAGAAACCCGTTTATCCAAAAGGAACACATGACCCAAAATCTAGACTTGTCACTGGGTTTTCAGCTCAGAGAGACCTTTTCAAAGCAAATGACTCACAGTAGGAGACATGATCCAGTTTGGGCTAATCTGAATTCTGAGATAGCAGCATCAGATAAATGAAAGGATGGAGTACTCAGCTTACTCCTTAGCATTTCCCAAATGTCAATGGTTTGAACCAAGTCAAAACTCTCTAAGAGTCACATAATAAACCAGGTTTCAGCACGTTTTCTTGTCTGTGTAGCTCAGATAACTTCAGAATGACAACAGAAGCTGAATCCCACTGGCTACTCAGTAAAGCCGTTCGACGAAATAGAGCTGTAACTGTGATACAAAGGTGGCCATGAGGCAAGTTTGTTATGCTGTCAAAGAGTTCATTCATTTTGATTCCTTGTGCTTCTTGGTACACCAAAGAACCAGAGATCCCAAAGACCTTCTTTGCCGTTGTTCTCCGTTTTATTATGCTCTCATCCAAGTTGACACAGTGACTTGAAAAAAGAAGGCATCAAATTATTTTCTTGCCCACCCAAACAGTCTATTTCCAGGCACTGCTGCACAGCGTACCTCCAAGAAGTCAGCTTTACTACAAACGATGTCATTAAATTGACATGTCTTGCCACATGCTGCCTTCTGTTTTCTAATAATGCTAGATGTCTTATTTATCCAAAACCAACAGTTTTGATCCATTGGACTACCTGTTGCCAGCCCAGAGCCTGATGTTAGTGCATAACATGGGTACGTGTCAGCATAAAAACGTTCCTTCGTGCTCAGAAACAATCTGCCTCCAAACACAAATCTCCAACAGCAAAGCGATTGTTCTTCCAATCCCAGTGCCTCTGAGCACAAAAGCTCTCTCCTGTAACACTGACACTTTTTCCAACCAGAAAGCAGCAGCAGTGGGCTGTTTAATGGAAAAAATAATTAAGCAGATCAACTTTAGATGAACACAAAATGAACTAGATAAGCTTTTCATATAGCCACCAGACAGATGATGCTGGTTCTGGCTCAGAAAAGAAAAGAAAAAAAAAAAAGAAAAAAAGGAGATGCTCTTTACAGAACAAGAGAACATGTTAGGCTGCAGATGCAAAATGAGCTAATATTTTTCTGGTAGGATTACACACTGTGGTTTTCTAAATTTAAAGGTAAGAATTATAAAGAAGCTTGCATGGATGGCCTCAGATGTACATGTGTAAGCTCTACCATATTTTAAAACACTACTCACCTACCATGTGAGTAGGTTCATTGAATGCAGCAGGATTACTCATCTGAGAAAGGATTCAGCCAGCACAGGGTGGGGTCCAATCTAGTTTCTAATTTGTAAGGGTTTAGACTGGGAGATGACACAGTTAACATGCAGTTAACAAGTAGCCTGAAGTTCTGGTGATTCAGAAGACACGTTTCAGCAGAAATAATCCGAAAAAGAATTCTTAATTAGAAATTTATGTGGCTATCAGCAGATCACTTTGAGATCCTTTGTCAACGAGAAGAGCTATATAAATGCAAATTTCTTTCATGGAATTCATTTTATTTAAAAAAAAAATGAAACAGATTTTTATTGTGTTTTGGTACTAAATATGAAGGGCCAGATACATCTCTGTTGCAAGCTTTTGAAACTAATAGAGTTACAGCACAAATGAAATTGTCCCTGGATATCTATTATGCATTACTGAAAACAGAAAGTAATACAGTTTTAGCATAAGAAATATAGTTGTTGTTTTTTTTTGTTTGTTTGTTTTTAAATCTAATCCAAGCTCTGTGCTTTCCTCACACTTCCATAGCATCTATATTCCTGCATTATTTACAAGTGCGGTTCTGGTAATCTAAAAAGTTTTGTTTGTATTTTAAAAGCTATTCACTTATATTAATTGACTCAAATCTATCCAATATAGCCACCAAGATGTTTTCTATATAAGAATGTTCTGTTGTAAGACCTTTCTAAGTTGGAGAGCTCAGATGCTTTGCTGGGATGAAGGGAAATACTTCAGATTATATTTTAATCAAAAAGAAAAAATCACCCATTTTAAAAATACGGTGGTTGGAATATAAAAGTTTAGGTGCTTAGGGAGATGTAATGTTCTTCCAAAATGTAGCAAAACAAGAAAATGTATCCAAATTGACTACAACATGTTCCCTTTTGTAGTGGTTCTCAATTGTGGGCCAAAAAAAGTGATCATTACTACTGCTTTTCTGCATTTATCTTGCCCAGTTGGTAGCTTGTGTTACAAGTCTTCCACCTTAGCTGTAAGCAATTTAAAACATCTGAAGCACGATGAGCCCAGCAAAGAAAGACAGGAATATTCAAGGAAGACCCAAGAGACAGCAAGGAACTAGGGAATCCTTCCCACTGCCTTGCTCTGAAGGCCACATCCTGCAGAGCCTTTTACTCAAGAATCTCTCTGCTAAGTTTCAAGCTATGAAATGTGGAGCATCTTCTTAACTCGCTGCAAGTGATACTACAACTGTGCTGTACTTTCAGAGAGACTCTCCAGAAATTCTAGACCCAATTTTAGGGCTTTTCTGGATTCACTTCTAGAGATTATGCTAGACTGTATTCTAGAGGTGGTTGGGTTTTATAGATCTTCCAGTTAACAATGACACAGTTGAGATGCCCTGGGTAGGGATTAAGGAAAAGCAAATGCATGG